ATGCGCCTTTGAAGGGTCCACTTTGGGACATCATTATTCCAAATGATTCCTTTTTGATACATCCCTATTGCTTTCAAGCCATCGTCATTGCCCGCTCGTGCGATAAAATTGCTGGCATGAGGGCCGGCAAGAATTTTCTGAACAAAATCGGCATCACAAGATACAATGGTGTAACCACCATTTACCCAGACACCGATGGTGTCTCCATAACGCTTACACCAAAATTCTGCGAATTCTGGTAGGGTTTGCAAGAAATGAAGCTGAATAAACATCAGCAAACGAGTACTCAAATGAAGGACAGGACCAGGGATGGATGTACATCCTATAGGTTTATAAATACGATTTATAAGAAATGAAAGAACTACGAACAAAAGCGAACCCAATATGGTTAATGAGGAAACCATTTGAAAGTCGTTAAAAAAAAAAAAAAAAAATTGAAAAAGAAAAGGTAAAAAAAAAAAGGTTTTGATTCTCCTTTTTACAAAAGGTTGACTAGTTAGGAAAAGTCGGTATTGGTTTCTTATATGCCTGTTTTATTTGGGGTGTGTTACATTAATTTGTACTAATTTACAAAAGTGGAACTTTCGCTCAGCCGATTTGGTTTACCAATTTTGATATTAAATTATTTTTCTTTAATGTAACTCGAAAATAACGTTTTTAGGCGTAATTGCAGATATTACCTTACTGTATATAAAAGAAAAAAGAATAGTAAAAAGTGGTTTTTTTTTTTCTGTTAATTTTGAAAGCGAATGAATTGTCAGAAGTTTTTATGGTGTTAGATCATCAAAGATGTTAGTTTATTCTTGGTTAATGAGGTCAGCTGTTATACACAAAGTGCCAATTAGTATGATAACCCATGAAAATCATTCCATATGAAAATTTCATAATCCTTTTGATGGGAGGAAACATGACATCGTCAAAAATATCAGGTTAATTAACACGAAAAAGGAAGCCTCAAAATGTTGTAATATCGCGTCTTAAGATTTTATTTAAAGTTATCAGCTTGGGAAGCTACCATGCAATGCGGTTACTTTTGAGAAAATTTTAAATCCAAGCCAAGCGCCGATCCCTTTCTTTTTTAGAAAGTCGTTTTATTTAATCAGTTAGATTCCGAATAATTCGATTTTTTCTCACAAAAAAGATTCTCATTTATCAATTACAAATAACAGGGGTATTCAAAATTGGTTGATACAGATTTTGATGCAAATATATCGGATTTTGCATCAAATGCATCAGCAAAATAGCAGGTGTAGTTGATGCAAAATTTTTAACGGAAACCCTTATTTTTTAAAAAATACGATTTCATAAAAACACATCAAAATATGCATCGATTTTATTCAATTTCGCGCGCTAAATTGATTGGTTAACACAAAGTGCATCAAATTTTGCATAAACCTATTTTGAATACCCCTAATATTAATTAATCTTGTACATGAGTCATGTGACAGCAGACTTTCAATTATTAAACCAATAAGCAATTAAAAAATTATTCATCAACGATACGACGACATATTAAATCATACCGGATGACCTATCTTTCCAACATTTGAAGTGATTTTCATTTCCGCTTGATGTTTATGTTGGGCAAAATCAATATATTGAGTTTGTGTCATCGTCACAATTGGAATAACTGGCCTCAGAAAAAATTTCGGAATATCAACAGTTAAAAGTTCACTTTCGTCTTTTCCGGTTTTACGAGTTGACTTCCCGATTGGTTTTGAGAGTATTTTGTCGTAGACGTTTTGCTTTCCTTTGGTAATACTGCGCAATTTGAAATAAATAAAAAAAAGTTCTTGCCCATTTTCAAATAAATGAAAAATGAAACTTGGATTTAAAACTTACTTCCTTCATATCATCTGGAAGTTCATGCCATTTCTTTGCACGTGAACTTATTAGATCTTTTGGTTTCTGTGATGATGACACAACTTCTTTCTTAACCAAATAATCTTTATCATTATCTCCTTCAATAGGACTTGTAGATGATGAAAAAAACACATTTATGTTCTTGAGGGGTAATTACATCTTGCATAAGGTCTGATAGCTTTTCGTGATCTATACTAAATCTAATAATACCAATACTACTTTCTACCGGACTTCGAACGTATTCTGGGATGATTTCACGGAACGTTAACTGATGCTTGAGAGAGCTATAGTAATTCCGCTATACGCGTTCCTAATCTAAAAACAAGTTAAAAATCGAGTCACGAGACATCGTAGATCATTATGAACTGTAACGTGACTTTAATAGAAAAACCGCCAAATTTCTTAAATAAAACTTTACGGGTTCTTCTTTCAATTTCATTTCATCAATACATTCTTCGTTATTATGATCAACTTTGTCGTTGTCCAATCTAAATTCGCTATCGATAGGAACTGGACTCATGATCAACTTGATGAATTTCAAACTTTTCCATGTTATTGATAATGTCATTATCGGAAAGACTAGGAAGTGTATAAGTATTATTACTAGTTTCTTTGGAAAATGCCTTTCAAAAATTATAAAATTGAAGGTTAACTTATTTCTTCTGTTCTGGAATCCAATTTCCGTTTTGTCAGCTTCTGTGTTACAATATGAAATTAGGGGTAAAATTGAAAAAAATCAACTGAATCCGAAAAAATAATTGGTTATTTCATGTAAATTTTTAAAAAGTTGACTGAAATTTGGAAGCCAGAATTATCAGTCATTTAACTGATCTTCGAATTTCGGAATTCCAATTTCAGGTGTTATCAAATTTCTCCGGTCAATCAAGAACGAGCGCAATTAAACGAATTTATAATAATTGCTATGTAGATCATGTGATCAACACGTAAATAATATTAGTATTTAATATGGTGTTTGCGACAAATTTATTGAATTAAAGAATCGTATTTTTTTCAAATAAAACGAAAAAATGATCGAATTGAGTTCTTTAGTTGGTTATTCTGTTTTAATATTTATAGGTCTGTTTACTTATAAAGTATATATTTTTCCTTATTATCTTTCTCCTTTGAGAAAAATTCCTGGACCACCTTCTGAAAGTCTTCTCTATGGAAATCTTAAAACACTTTTCGTAGAAGAGGTAAGTTAATATTTTTTTTTTTTAATTTTTTTAATTGATTTTTATCCCAATTTGACATTTTATTTTTAATTTTTCAACTTTTTTTTAGTCCGGTGAACCACATGCGAGATGGGTAAAAAAATATGGAAATTTTATAAAATATCACGGATTCTTTAATAAACCAACCATTGTGGTTACAGATGCAAAAATAATTAAGGATATTTTCTTAACCCAAGGTTATGATTTTTTAAAATCTAACCTTATCAGGGGTGATATTATGCGCATTATTGGTAGAGGCATTTCTACTGTAGAGGGTGAAACCCACAAGAGACAGAGAAAAATGATGAACCCTGCTTTCGCTCATAATAACATTAAAGTACGTAACATTTATTCGTAATAAATAAATTAAAGCATGTGACTAAGTACCCATATTACACAATTTAGAAAATGGTTCCAACATTTTCTCGTTTAGCTTTCAAATTAAAATGTTTAATAGAAGATGATGTAAATAAAGGTGAATCGAAAATTAATCTTATTCCCTATATCTCTAAAATTACTTTAGATATCATTGGCTTGGTTGGTAAGGAAGAAAATTTTTATTTTTTTTTATGTATAAATATATGTGACATTCCTAACTTATTGAAACATATTTTAGGATTCAATCATGAATTTAATGCATCCTCTTCTCCAAGTGAATTAGCGGAAGCTTATGATTTTTTAATGGGTAAAGAATTAACCAAATTAAGCATTATTATTAGTATTTTATCTGTTTATTTCCCGGTTATTAGAAAAATTCCAATAGAGATAAACAAAAATTTTAATAATGCATTTAATGTTATTGAACGCGAATCGATAAAGTTGGTTGAAGAATGTATCAATGATGACAAAAATAGCGGAAATGATTTATTATCTTTATTAATTAATATCAACAAAACTTTACCTAATGATGAAAAAATGACTAAAGATGAACTAAGATATCAAGTATTTAAACATATATTTTTAATTATTATCATTTTAATTATTATTTTCTTTATCTTACTTTTTTCTTTTTTTTTTTTTTTTACTCATTAAACATTTTAGCTTATGACATTTTTATTAACTGGACATGAAACTACAAGTATTTCAACGAGTTGGGCTTTGTATTTTCTTGCACAACACCCACATGAACAAGATTTATTACGTGAAGAATTAGTTAAAGCCTTTCCTGATAAATCAATATTTAATCCCACTTTTGATGAAATAAATGCTTTAGATTACTTAAATAGTGTAGTTAAAGAAACATTAAGATTATTACCTCCAGGTAAAAATTTTAATTTTTTGATCAAAATTTATTATTAGTTTATTTATTAACTACCGACTTTTTCATTTTAGCTCCAACTATGTATCGATTAAGTATCAAAGATAATGTTTTCGGAGAATATTTTATTCCAAAGGTATGCATACATTTTACTTTAATTTTTAAAATTTATATTTCAAAATTTATTAACAAAATGCTCCTTTATTTAGAATACTGTAATTGATATTCCAATTGCAACAATTCATAAATTGCCATCGGTTTGGGGACCAATGGCTGATAAATTTTATCCCAAAAGATGGTTAGATCCTTCTATGATTAAAAATGTATCAAATTATAATTATTTGCCTTTTGGTACCGGTGTAAGATCCTGTATAGGTTACAAATTATCCATTACTGAATTTAAAATAATATTAAGTGTACTAGTTAGAAATTTTATTTTTCAACCAGTTGAAGGATTACAAATTAAGAAGAGACCTGGTGTTAATCTTAGTAGACCTGATCCATATCTCAAATTAATAATTTCTAAAGTTGAAATTTGACAAAATTTTATAATTTAAATTAATATTTACAATATAATATAATTGACTTACTTAATACTTTTTAATTTATTTATTTTAAAATAACTATATTAAAAACTAATATTCTAATCTTATATTATATAATAAATACCTTAATAATTAATATTTAATTATTTAATATTAAAATCTATTATAAAATATCAAAAATTTAATTATTTTAATAATTAACTTTTAAATTGTTCTTATTATTTAATAATATTTTTAATAATTATCAAGATTCTTTTT